AGTGTCTTCTACATCTGATGGCACACAATGAAGTGGTCCTTTAGTACCTTTTTGTGAGAATCTACTCGATAATTTTCCTGATGTTAAGTTTACAATTTTCATAAAGGGTAATCTTAAAGCAATTAAATGTTTTTCAAGATTATTTAATCTTTTTAGTTCAGACGGAATCTCACAAACTTTCAATTTATTCAACAATGATCGACTTGGCATTTGTCCTTTCTTGATTTTATGAGAACATGTTTTACAAATCCATTCTTTTTCTGTTGGCAATGATTTATTTGAATAAGATTCAATGCGTTCTTTAGTTTCAACTGTCATATTCGTTTTTATATATTTTTCTTCTACATAAGGTATAACTTGGTTACGAAACAATGATAAGCGACATACAATGCAAATACAATCTGGTCCTTCTCGATTTACTTTTCGAAACAACCTTAAGTTATTAACATATAAATTTCTATGTTTAACTAGACAAATATGACTTTGAAGAACATTATACTTGTTCAAAACACGTCTGTATTGATTATAAAGTCGTCTTTGTTTTTGCATCATCGGTGAGTAGCTTTTTTTATAAGAATTCAATGCCTGTAAAATCATTCTCATTCGTGTTCTTTCATTAGAATTATATTTTCCCAATACATTACCTTTATGTGTATTACGAAATTCCATATTATTATGATATTTATTTAAAATATAAGTTTTCGAGCGCTGTATTTTTTCTTGACGAAATGTAACATATTTTCGATATTTTTCTAAACCATGTGTTCTTGATAGAATTTTTTCTTTCTCACGAAAATTACTGTTATTCGTATATTTTTTTTGGAATATTGCGGTTACACGTTCACTTTCTCTTTTACGAAACAAATTATCCTGTGAATATTTCTTATGAAACCAAGAAGACTGCCTAGTAGATTTTAAAACTATTGTATCCTTAAGGATAGTAGTATTTGATGAGTCTTTTTTTTTTCTAATTTCCAGTCGTCGTTTTCGTTTATAATCTAGTCGACAAACTTTTGAAATCAGACTTTTTATAATCGCCTGAACAACATTCAAATCTTCTAAATGATTTGTAGCATCAGTTTTATTCACATATGTAAATTCTATATCTTTCTGAACAAAACTAACATTATTCAAAAATATTTTATTTGATTGTGAACTGTTTAAATCAGATGTTGAACAAGCAAATGCAATATCACAACGTCTAAAACGTAAAAATTTATTAACAGCTTTTACAATTAAAAGTAATTTGCGCCATGAACGACTAACACGATTTTGAGTTTTTTTTCGTTCATAAGCTCTTTTACGTGTTCTTGCTTTAGCTGCTGTTGATTTTTTACGAACCATTTTAGTTCTAATAAAACGTGACGAAACAAAATCGTTGATGCTTACAACGGTGATAGTTTCTCTATGAGAATAAGATCGTATATAAACAAACTACGTCTTAATCTCCTTAGAGAAAATTGAATATCTATTTACTTGATAAGATAATTCAAAGAAAAAGTTTCTTTCGAGTTAAATCTTCTTTAAAACTAGGCGAAGATAAACTCGTCAATAAACAAGAAACTTTAGAAAATCAAAAAACTATGCGATTTTCTTTAAATGATGTTTTTATTATTTTATTATTGTTCAATTAAAACAAAAAAGTTTCTTTCGAGTTAAAGCTTCTTTGTAAATAGGCGAAGATAAACTCGTGAATAAGCAAGAAACTTTAGAAAGTCAAAAACCTAGGCGACTTTCTTTAAACGATGTTTTTTTATTGTTTTATTATTTATGAATTAAAACAAAAGTTTCTTTTGTGCTGAATCTTCTTCAACACTTGATGAAAATAAACTCGACACTTGGCAAGAAACTTTCGAAATTTAATAATATAGGTAATTTTCTTTAAATATTTTATTTTTGTTCGATGTAAATTACGATATAAAAATCTAAAGTGAAATAAATTCATATAATTAAAAGTTTTAAAAAACGAAATTTAAATATTTTCAACAGAAAATTATAAGAAAAAACAAAGTATTTTTTTTCTTGTAATCTAATTAAGTTCGATAGACATATTGTCATATATAACTATGAAACCTCCATAAGAACTTAGAGACAATTTTTTTCTAGATGTCAGATATTTACATCAATCCATTAATTATCTTTGCGATCACTTTGTTATCAGCTCAGTTACAGCTGTTGCGATCACTTTCTTATCAGTTGAGTTACAGCTGTAAAGAATCCCTTTGATTGAACGAAGAGACTTGCGACTAACTTTTCTTGGTATCTTTATTTTAATTATCTCGAATATAAAATCTTTCAAATTCGTCCTTTTCCTAATTTATTTGTAATTCAACGATACATTCTAGTGAAAACTGAAAAACGAATTTCAACGATTTGATCTTGATACTTTCATCTCGCATTTAAACTTTTTTTTTCTGTTTTTCCGTTTTTGAGATAATAGCGATACAACATGAGTACTTTTGATGCGTAGGTCAAGTAAGTAAGAAAAAAACTTAGTTGATTTGTGGATGAACTACCGAACATAGAGGCTGCTCTGTATCATTCGAATTCGAAAAATTACTTTTTCAAGAGTCAACTGCTATAGCTCATGAGAAAATTGAAAAGCATCATAATACAATTCATCATCACAAGAACTCTAAGACTGTATATGAATATTTTTCTGAAAGATGATTTTGATTAATCTTTTAATTATCTGTCTGATTCATTATCTATAACCAACTGTATTGACAGCTGCTTGATATATATAAA